TTGTTCGAAGAGCTTTTGACGTAGCTACAGTGTCAGGCCACGTCTCTGCTGCGTAGCAGAGCGCAGGGAGGTCATCAGATCAGGAGATCCAAAATCGATGATAATTTGGGCGGTGATAACATTCGCTCCGAAGTGCAATGTAATTCTTCAAACAATCTCCTAACATTTATAGAACTAATCTAGAACTCCAGAAGAATTCGCTCTTTAAAAGCCCACTTCGCAAGGACTGGGTAGTAAATAAAATATCATGCATGTACTAGCGTTGAATACTATGTAATAAATTGATTTGGTTTCAATAAAATGGAACTATAATTGAGGAATGAGGGAGCACAAGCTAAAGATTTTTGGAGGAAGAAGGGGTGTGTGACTTTATGAACGATAACTCCAATTGACAGCTGTGGTGTGCGTACGCGCGCCTAACTTCTGCTAGGTTTACCGTGTTTTCAACCTAATATCGTCGTTTATCACTAAAACTAAGACCACTGTTGTTATTAATCCTCTACCAAACAACGACGAAAATTATATGAAACAGATATACATTATTTCAGGTTATGTGCAGAACATCTTCTAAATTATTTGAACAAGGGAAATCGTCACATGTACTTGGGCAAACCCATAGAATATCTGCTGAAATATGTTGTTTTGGCCATTACAATTTATCGTAGGTTTTGCAAGCTTAAAGGAAGTACTTACTTAGCTTGAAAATAGCAATTTGCTTAAATTGGGCGTCGAGCTACGCACTGAGCGCATCCTAAACTGCCGGCTGGCAATAGCTATCGTTCATAAAGTCCGCCACCCAGGAAGAAGGGGTGGAGGTGATAAGGGGCTGGTCGGTCCACTTTCAAAGTGATTGACCATTTTTAGAGAGGGGCGAAGGGAAGGCGCAGGAAAGTAGACAAAAGGATAGGTTCAAACCTAAGTTTCAAAAAAAATAAGTTCGCGATTAGTCAAATTTCTTATCGCCAGAAGAAGAAGACTTGTTTCGACGTTAGCCCATCTGCTGAGCTACTATCAGTGGCATAGCGCTGGAAAGGGCCATAAATTTTCCGGGACTGCGATAAGACTTTTTCAAGCTCTGCTTTTAATTATGCTCAGCGTTCTTCTTCTATTTGCATTATTTCAAGGCGTTTTTTCTGCAAAAGCACATATTCAAAGGATCACTGAGGTGATAAATAAATTAATTAATAACTCTATAGTTATGTACACTAGAGCACAAATTACTATTATGTAATATATGCTAATACCATTATCTCTATATCTGTTATTATTTATTATTTATACTACCTTTGAATATATACATATATACGTTTATTAATTTATTATTATATAATTGTCGATGACTGTATTAATTCTTTAGCATAGCACCAATTCCGGGAAGCTCGACTTCATCGGATGTCCCACGAACAATGATTT